AAAGGGGAGCAAGTTATATCTCGTTTAGATTTATATTCAGTTTCTTCTAGTTTTATAGTTTGAGCTTGATGTGCAGATGTTCATGTTCACCTCTCATCTTTTGGGATTTTTTTTTCTGAGGAGGATTATGAATTTATGGGAGAAGGGTCGTCTTACGTGAAAGATGGTGCCGGGCCATAAAAACCTATAATTCATAAAAATACCTTGGAATAGAAGGACAGCAAAAGCCTGCTTTAGAGACGTTTACTCTAGACATTTCTATAATAAGCGAATCGGAAAAGTCAGTGCATTCACACTGCAGGTGATCAGATTTACATAGATTCAGTTACTTGCGAGGAGGACGGTGAGGGTGCGAGTATGGACAAACGGTTTTGGGCAGCGAGAAAATGGTGGGAGAATCATATATGAGTTGCTAGAAATTGAACTGTACATTGTTTGATGAACTGCGTGAACTTATTTTTTGAGACCAGTACTGTGAATGACGATTCTTACAGGAAAAGGGAAAAATCGAAGCAAGACCAATTACAAATCGGAGAGGAGATCCGGTTTACCTAATGCGATGCGACTAAGAGGGTTTGGGGTTGTTAGGAGGTCTATGGATTTTACTTGCGGGGAATAAGGCCAAATTCTTGTGGTCGAAGAAGTGTATCGACTACATCTTTCTCGAGTTGATCAAGCTCTTTTGTTACTTCGGCGAGATCACTGGAATGAGATGGGAAATAGTTAGAGAAACAAAAAAAAGAAAACAAATTTGGCGATGTTGTACTAACCTTGCTGTCTTTCCAGGCGGTGTCTTAAGTTCCATGTAGTACTTGATCTTCGGCTCTGTACCAGATGCACGAATCGTGGCAACATTTCCATTGGCAAGGAAGAATGTTATCATTTCGGAAGTTGTTGAGAGAGGTAGGGTCTGGAAAAAGTATGGATAAAGGTTGCAGGAATTCCACTTTGCTTTCATAGAGGATCCCATGCAACAGCACCTAGGATAAAGAAAAACTCACAGGCTTGTTGTCAGGTTGCGAATTATCATAGCCAATGGTAAGATCACGAACACTCTTCACAGCTACACCACCAACTTTTTCAGGGTACTGAAAAATTCAAATATCCTGGTTCGCCAAAGAAATGGGCGAGAATGAGTTATTTTTTCGCATTCAAAGGCTAGCAATCCTGGAGAAACTAGTTCTACGCAAAGCGATGACGCGAGGCCTACCGCGCGGACACAGCTACTAGCTATTGATGCTTGTTTGC